GCCTTTTTAACAGTAAAACAAACATATAGCAATTATTATAGTTTTATTGTTTTTCAAAATATTCGCCGTGATGATATATGCAATTTTGCACACTTTGGAACCAATTTTCTTAGCACTTTACCCATTCTGATTGTGGTATCTCCAAAACGTGCATTTTGAACGCATCAACAGCCTCTTCATGGTTCGAAAAAACGTTGACCACGTATTTTATTCTTCACGGTAGGCAAAAAAAAATAAAAGTCGTTGGGGACCAAGTTAGGGCTGTACGGTGGATGACCCGTTAATTCAATCTTTTGATCTACCAAATACTGACTTGTTTCGGCCGATGTGTAGCAGCTAGCATTGTCATGATGAAGAAGGATTTTGCGTTGTCGGTTATTCTTTCTTATTTCTTCGAAGACTCCTGGCAAACAAATGGTCTTGTATCATTCAGAATTAACCGTTTTACAATCCTCTAGTGGCACAGGCCACATGCCCATTTATACAAAAAAAAAACAAGTGACCATTTGCTTCAAAGTGCTTTTTGAACGAATGATTTTTGTTGGGTTCGGCTCATCTTGGAACACCCAAACCATTGATCGTTGTTTAGTTTCAGGATCATACGCATAAATCCAAGATTCATCACCTGTGTAGAAATTATAGACCTCTTTTGACGCACCCTGATCCCTGATTGTACTTTTGTAAAAAAAAATTTCACCAATCGACATGTTCCCGTTTTTGGTAAATTTTTTTTTTAGCTTAATGTTCGTGTAATATTTTATATATACTCGTCATACTTATTCCCAGAGGCGTTCCTTCTATCTCGCGGTATGTAACATGACGATCATGCATTATTAGTTCCCGCACAGCATCAATATTTTAAGGTACTACTTATACTTGTGGGGATAGAGATATCTAGAAAAGGCGTTCTTCAAGAACGGCTTTGTTTTTGAATGAGTAATTCGAAGGAAGCTTCGAATTACTCATTCAAAAACACCTTTTTATTTGGAACTTCCCTTCTTAAATATATATTATTGCATAGTATTCTCACATATACAACATAGTATAAAGACTTATACTATGATGTGTGTATGTTGTATTTGTATTTATCTCGAGCGTCTGCTATATTGTTCTTTTCCGTCACCTTTCAATATGCTTACATTACCAATGTACTACACTTTAATGAGTGTCGCATATAAATGTGTAAAAGATTTTTATTAAAGATACATGGTGGATTTTTGATTATTCTTTTAGTCAAAAATTTATGTGATATTGTAAAAAAATATTAAAATCACATCAATAAATAGAAGCCCAGTAAAAGGCAATGTGATATAATACGCACAGTAGGCTGTACACAGCAAAATTCAATCGTTCGTATCAGAAATCTAATTTTTCCTAACTTCACGGATGACTAATGCCACAGCTAGAATTAACAAAACTACGAAAATTTTGAGTTACTTTAACGAAATTGAAATATTCTGCAAAAACATTATAATTTACTACTTAATTTTGTGTGAAATTCAACTAATTCATCTAAATATAATTCACAAACAATTTTATTCACACATTTATCCAATTTATTATTAGTTTCCTTTGAACCTATCTCTATTTAGATACTGGTTTTAGCAATCGTGGCTGTTTCTCCAGGCACTGGGTTATTTCCTTATTTAGAAGTACTCAACTTGGTTTTCCTTGAAACAGTGTATTAAGTAAAGTAATAAAACTTACTTTTACAATTTGTTTTCTGCGAGATAGCGCTCACGTGACATTTAGAATTTATAATTTTTTTGTTTGCTTATAAATCGCATTGTCGTTTGAAAGATATATCATTTTAATTGACAGGATTCGGTTTCGATACCGAAACGTCTCAAACGGTATTTAAAAAAACCCAATACACAATAAAAAATCGTGTCGATAGGTATTGATTTCTATTTTAGGAGTTTTTTTAATATGAAGAAACAAACAACTTTATGAAAGATTTGTAAAAGTTGTGAGTTTCTTGAACAGCGTTCGTACAGAAACCCATCGATCGCGCACAAGACCACTTTGACACAGCCTTATTATATAACAAACATAAGATGATCGAAGAAGCCCGGTATGTTATAAATAAAAACTGAAAAGACATTTTTTATATCGCGAATGCTGATGGTTTTATAAAAAATGATTCAAGGCATATTTATTAAGTCAAAAGTGAAAACTTTTACACTAAAAAGTTAAACAGATTGTTGGCGATAGACAAAATAATATGAAATCTAATTTTATAATAAAATTACAAAAACACAGTTTGTGAACTTTAAAATAAACAATTCATTTTAAAAAAATTGACTGAAATAAGAAGGCATTCGCAAAATTGAGACACGAGAGAAGCAGAATTAGATGTTCAGTGAATCAGAAATTCGCAGGATTATGACTATGATTACCTAGAGTCTCTCTCTCTCTCTGTCTCTCTCCACTTCCCCCTCAATCTCTCTTCAGATTAATGGTATCTTAAATTAAAATACGCAGATTTTTAAAAGATGCCTCTAAATTTTTACCTTACTTGTGTGACCCAGACATAAAAATATTTTTATCATACCGCCACCGCCGATACCGCGCTATGATAAAATATGGGCTATAATTTGTAAATATTTACTTACCTTTTTTTTTTCCGTGCGGAAATCCCCTCGGATACCACCTGTCGGTGGCAAGTCGGACTCAAACCGACTAAAACCGCACGCCGTCTCGGGTACTAATAGCCGGGGAACCAGGTATACCCTAGAAAGGAAGTCCCTGGTGCCCCGACATACCTCGGGCCATCTACAACAACAGTTAGACGACGCCCCCCTCCGCGTGGGAACCCCATGTTCCCTCTGCTCCCTGGAAGCGAGCGCGCTCGCAACGCGCTCGCCGCCACCCCGGCCTGCTTCTGCTAGGGTGACAGATGGCCTCACCTGTCACCCCCAGGCCTGCGCTTATGGAGGACGGAGGTCGTTCTGCGACCTCCGGCGCCTGAGTCGCCTGCGGTACCTATCCCGTTCCCAGGCCTGGCGGGCCGGGAGAGTCCTAAACCTCTCCCGGCCCCGCTCCGCCGTCTCCGTCGCAAGCATAACTTGCTCGCAGAAGGAGACGGCAGAGTTCCACGCACTCTCGCTCCGCACGATAGCCGCAATCAGGCTATCGAGCGAGAGAACTCCCACTCCGATGGCCGCCACGAGGTCTCACCTCTGCTCAACCCACGCCGGGCACTCTGCCAGCGTGTGGAGAGCCGTGTCCACGGTCTGGTCATCGCAGTGATGGTACCCAGGCGTTGGCTCCTTGCGGATCAGACACAGGTGATCCCCGAAACATCCTTTCCCAGTGATCACCTGCGTCAGTCGGTATAAGAGGGTCCCGTGACGCCTCTCGAGCCAATCCTCCGTAACGGGTCTTACCGCCGCGATGACGGCGTACCCGAATATTTACTTACCTAAATGTAATCTCTGGCAATAACTGGTTCTTTATATAGCGATTTAATAAAACCACTTTCTTTACCTACTCTTTCCTACGTTATTTTATTATGCTCCTTATTGCTGATTTAGCAATAAAAGGTATCTGACCAAATGCATTTACTATTTTAGGTATGTAAACTCGGTTCCAAAAATAACGGGTCAGTCACATAAACCCGAATATCTCCCGAACTACGTATGCCATCCTAATGAAACGAAGACTGTTCAATTGGGAATTTAATTATACAGATAAAAAATAAAATAAAACTTAAATCTAAACTCTCTAACTCTTAACTTATCTCTAAATTTAAAAAAAAAACTAAAGTAGTCCGCGGGCCTCAGTAGAAATCCCAGCCCAGACTTGTACGGAGCCTCCACCGTACGCCAATTTTTCCTCCACACACGCTTGATGGAAGCGCTCCCCTGGTCTTCTGTACACCAACTGCCTACCATCATGCTTAAAATGCATAAAGCATGAATTTAGACTCGTCCGTGAACATTACCCTAGACCAATCGTCTAGTGTCCAGTTTAGGTGCTCGCGCACGTATCTCTGTCTTGCAATTCGATGTCCCCGTTCCAGTTTGGGGGCCATTTGCGGGCCTCAATGGTTTCAAATTTGAGCTGTACTGTTTGAGCGCTTAAATTGCCACCTCCAAAGCGAATAAAGTGAGATTTTAGACCAACAGCAGTTTGAAAACGATTTCGGAGCATTGTAGCCACCAGTTGTCTGTCTTCCCTGGACGTTGTGCATCTTGGTCTGCCATTTCCTGGTCTTCTAAGGTGTGATCCGGTCTCTTGGTACCGCTGGACTACCCGCTGAACAGTCGACAAAGATACACCAATGTTTCTGGCTGTTTCACGATGGCTCCGCCCAAGTTCCAAAAAAGTTAGGATTCAGGTACATTCCTCTAGCGTGACTGCCATGCTTCACCTCACAGAATAATAATTATGCACGTGGAAGACGTTCACGATATTTTTTTTGTGACAGAATAGAAATGGAAAGCATCTATAATGAAATGTTTTTAAAAATAGTCATTTTTTTAAATTTTGTTTTTCTAATGAAGTTTTTTTCATCAACCAGTTTAAATAATATGCTATTAGAAGTTTTTTTATTTCATTGATCTAACTTTAACAGTTCTGGAGGTATTTCAATTTTTGTGACTGACCCGTAATGTTTGGAACCGAGTGTAAATAAACGATATCTCTTACTGTGAACTTGATAAACAAGCTCGAAGTTTTAAGAAAGAAATGAAAATATACACACAATAACACACAAAACGCAAAAGACCGGACATTACTGACATTGCACAATGGATCAGCAAGTTAAAGTGGCAGAGGCCAGGCACATCGGTAACCAACACCGATGGACGATGGGGCTGCAAGGTAGTGGAATGAAAACTCGTGAAGACGCGGGACTCGTCCAAGAAAGAACCTGACCGACGATCTTAAAAATCTCTTACTCTTTGATTTGTCTCTAAAGTTATTTGAATTTACACATTTGTTTTCATTTTCTTTTAAATATGAAATTCATAAAACATGTTATTTGACTTTAACAGGAGGTTATGCCACCAATTCTCAAGGGAGAAATTCTTTTTGACCGGATGGGTGCGCAAGCGCGTGTTAACTACGAACAACTTCGCAAAGATGCCCAAGATCTTGAAATGAAGATCAAACAACTACAAGTAAGTTTATATTTTACTTTAGAATGTTATTCATAATTTTTCATGCTAGAAATTAACTAGCAGTAAATTTTTTGAATATGATTCATTAAGTCTTGTCTTGTTTTATATCTTTCAGTTGAACTTGAACTGTCAATGTATCATCATCATCATCATCATCATCATCATCATCAACAGCCTTTAATAGTCCACTACTGGACATAGGCCTCTCCTTAGAAAGGAGAGGCCTATGTCCAGCAATGGACATCAATATATATAATAATAATAATACATATATATATATCCTATCTTTCTTAATGTATACACTTTCCTAATCCTGAAAGGTCAACATATACAAGGTTACTGGTTAAGTCGACCTAGATACTTTAAGAGCTTGTAGTTACCATATCCCAAACCTAGCCATTTTCAAGATATTGGACTTTTATGATTTTTTATTAAAATGCCCGAAATTTTGCATAATACATTTTTTTTAAGAACGTACATTGTTATTTTCTTCTTTCTGTTACTAAAGAATTGTAGCTAACTTAACAAACTGGGCCGAAGCAGATGATTAATAATAGCAAAAAGAAATCAATTTAAAACAATATATTTTTCTTTCACGAATATTTAAAAGAAAATCACAGTTAAGTTGCTGATGTAGTAAAAATGTAAAAATCATGTATATAAAATTTCAGCTTTCTAACAAGGTATAAAAGTCTAAGATAGTATTAAAATCAATAGAAACAAACTAAGATGCATGACCGGCAGTATCAAGAATTAGCGTAAAACCAGGTAGTACCCAGTACCCACTCCCGGTCATTCATCTAAGTTTTTTGCTATGAATTTTAATACTGTCTTAGACTGTTATATACATTGCTAGATATTTGACAATACGTACATGTTTTTTACCACATCTGTAACTTAACTGCTTTAGATTTTTTTATAAACATCAAAGAAATATTTTTTTTAGTTAGTTATTAATCATCTACTTTGGCTCAGTTTGTTAAGTTATCTACAACTTTGGTAATGGAAATTATTAAAGAATTTATTAAATATACAGTAGCAGTAAAACAAAATTAACAGTATAGGTTTTATAAAAATTGGTTACGCAAAATTTCGGCATTTTTATAAAAAATCTTACATGTCCAATATCTTGAAAATGGTTAGGTTTGGGATATGGTATTTCATAGTGAAATCTATCAGAAATGGTGGCAACTACAACCCCTTAAAGTATCTAGGTCGACTTACCCAGTAACCCTGTATATTAGACCCCTTTAAGTTCTTATACCTATGTTTGTTCAATTTTTAAACTTAGAATAAATTGATTAAAGATGTGCTCTGTGCACACGCGCTATACTTACGTAACAATTTTTATTTTTCACAACAACAAATTTTGTAAAATATTTATTTTTCTAATCATAACATTCAACCGGTTAAGCTGACATTATGTAAGGCAGAAGGCCGACATAAATAAAACAGTGATGTAGATAGAAAATCTGCATTATTCTGAAAACGTCCGTATAAAAATAAAACAGATTCATTGAAACTGAGCTGAAGATATTATATATTATTAAGAAATAAATACACACATGCTACACCACAAAAACTAAAACATTCAAATGATGCGGATGGAAGCGGGGGATACTTTCAATAATTAAGTACATACTGACATTACTAAAAAAAGACCACGGAAATCCGATACCACAGGATAAAGTGAATACGTAAACACAGTCAAAAGTCACATATATATGTAAAAACCTAACATAACTTGTGTTTTCTCTCTCTATAAAAACTTGACGAAAACTCTTTACTACAGAGAATAGCAAAACTAGAGGTTCAACTGGTATTTAACCAAGTTATTTGACCTCCACCCCTAGAGAAATCATGAGCTATGATTAAGAATTAAACACTCGGTTTACTGCGATCTCCTGTCTACTTAATGTACGTTCTTCTCTAGTTAGACTAGATATATCTGAGAGATTTTATGTCGTACCTCTTTCAAAGATTGCAGCAACTGATAGCAACTGTTAAACTTGAACCTCACTTTCTTTTTTTAACAGGATAGCCTTGATGCTTTATCACGGCATCAGACCAGAGGCATCGAAAGCAACCTCTACAGCAAAGTAAACGAGATTCAAGTAAGTACTCATTATGTGGAAATAACATAACATTTTTTACAATTTTTGGTCTTACGACTGGTCAGTATTATTACATGTACTGTACTTAAACGTATGTTAGCCATGTGGAGATAGAATCGGGACTGTAAAGATTTTTTTTGACCATAGATAACCCGTAGGTACATCAATGACATTAGGTAAAATAACCCTTTTAACTGTATAAATGTAAAGTAAGGGAACTTGGGTACTAAACCGTGAAGTTAATTCGAAAACATTTTGAAGCAAGAGAGAAAACAAATTCGACCTGATTTAAACATCATTAAAATTTCACGCTCAGTTTAATACTCAAGAATATTACAATAGCTTCAGAACCTTGCTTTAACATTTCTCCATACTTTTACATTGCTTCATTAAGAAAAATATGGTTACAATATATGGAATTATATATATATACATTGGAAATTACTATCTTAATGGTACCTTTGATTCATTAAATTTTTGTAATTGTCAGATATCATAATACGTCCAGGGTTGGATACCTGGGTTGCATAAACTTTTATTGAGTAGATTTGTAAAGTAAATTTACCTGTAAGAGCTTTAGGAAAACTTTAAAAAGTGTCTGAAAAACAGCAATAAACTCTCTTACACCAATATGTATAGTTATATACATATAGGCATATAATTATATATAATTTAATATAGCGCATTTGCTTATCTATAATAGCAATTAATGACACACTTACAACATTTATTGCAAAAGTTCTGAAATAAATAGGATTCTGAGAAACAATATATTAACTAGTAGTGACATCTGTTACTCGTAATATAAATTTAATAGAATCTTATGATCAGAGCCATCTAGTAGGCTCAAGCTAAATACGCTTTATTTAGCGACTAAAATGACAAACGTTCCATAGTAGATAATTGTTCTTTCCAGCGCTAGATGTCACTATTTGACCTAGACGTTTATAAATAGTTTAAAATAATGCGATTGAAATTATCTTGATTATCTTGAAATTTATAGTGATATACGATAAATATCTATGAAATAGGATTTCTGTTATGATATGAATGTAGATTTTTATAAAAGAATATTTTCTCAACAGGATGATATGTCCAAGAACAAATATGACTACAGGGCGACGCAGTTACATCTAGCTGCAGTTAGAGCTCAGGTAAGTTTATATGCCATTGTTTGAACGTTACCGTGCTATAAAAAACTTGGAACTACCTACTTACGATAATAAATCTATAACGTTTTAATTACTTATCTAGAAAATATGAAATGGTAAATTATAAAACATTAACAGCGACGCAGTTACATCTAGCTGCAGTTAGAGCTCAGGTAAGTTTATACGCCATTGTTTGAACGTTACCGTGCTATAAAAAACTTGCAACTACCTACTTACGATAATAAATCTATATCGTTTTAATAACTTATCTAGAAAATATGAAATGGTAAATTATAAAACATTAACAGCGACGCAGTTACATCTAGCTGCAGTTAGAGCTCAGGTAAGTTTATACGCCATTGTTTGAACGTTACCGTGCTATAAAAAACTTGCAACTACCTACTTACGATAATAAATCTATATCGTTTTAATAACTTATCTAGAAAATATGAAATGGTAAATTATAAAACATTAACAGCGACGCAGTTACATCTAGCTGCAGTTAGAGCTCAGGTAAGTTTATATGCCATTGTTTGAACGTTACCGTGCTATAAAAAACTTGCAACTACCTACTTACGATAATAAATCTATATCGTTTTAATAACTTATCTAGAAAATATGAAATGGTAAATTATAAAACATTAACAGCGACGCAGTTACATCTAGCTGCAGTTAGAGCTCAGGTAAGTTTATATGCCATTGTTTGACCGTTACCGTGCTATAAAAAACTTGGAACTACCTACTTACGATAATAAATCTATATCGTTTTAATAACTTATCTAGAAAATATGAAATGGTAAATTTTAAAACATTAACAGCGACGCAGTTACATCTAGCTGCAGTTAGAGCTCAGGTAAGTTTATACGCCATTGTTTGAACGTTACCGTGCTATAAAAAACTTGCAACTACCTACTTACGATAATAAATCTATATCGTTTTAATAACTTATCTAGAAAATATGAAATGGTAAATTATAAAACATTAACAGCGACGCAGTTACATCTAGCTGCAGTTAGAGCTCAGGTAAGTTTATACGCCATTGTTTGAACGTTACCGTGCTATAAAAAACTTGCAACTACCTACTTACGATAATAAATCTATATCGTTTTAATAACTTATCTAGAAAATATGAAATGGTAAATTATAAAACATTAACAGCGACGCAGTTACATCTAGCTGCAGTTAGAGCTCAGGTAAGTTTATATGCCATTGTTTGAACGTTACCGTGCTATAAAAAACTTGCAACTACCTACTTACGATAATAAATCTATATCGTTTTAATAACTTATCTAGAAAATATGAAATGGTAAATTATAAAACATTAACAGCGACGCAGTTACATCTAGCTGCAGTTAGAGCTCAGGTAAGTTTATATGCCATTGTTTGACCGTTACCGTGCTATAAAAAACTTGGAACTACCTACTTACGATAATAAATCTATATCGTTTTAATAACTTATCTAGAAAATATGAAATGGTAAATTTTAAAACATTAAAGTACATACAATACAAGTACATTACTTTCTATACCGTTAATTTGATGCACAGGACAAAACAATTTAATTGTATTTATATCTTTCTACCTAATATCTAAATTATTACAATAGATTCTATTGAAAAAACTTTTAATTTTATTAACTTTGGTATAAAATGTCGGTAGTAATTTCGTTTCCATTTAATTAATACTTTTTGCAACATGCATTAGAACCACCGGTTTGATAAAAACTGCCTGTATTAGGCACAAAATATAAGACCTACTATCTATAGGTACTTCATTTGTTTACAACTTATGCAAACAACTATATTGTGTATAGTGTGTCGTCACTAATTGTGTACAAATAACTTCCTGATCAATTTATAAGGAGTTGCGGCAGACTAAATAAGTACCTACTAATTTCATAAACCTACATATACCTACCTATTAACTATAATTCTCATACCCAGTACCACAGAACTCGTAATTCTTTAAAAGTGATTCATCTTTATCTCACAACAATAACATTGAAATAATCATTTACTAGATTTTATATATTTTTATATTAGTAAGGATTACTTTTAACACGAAAGGTGTGAGTGTACACCTAGTAAAACATTTTATTTTGAAGTATTTATTTGCATTAAGCGATTGAATTGACTCGATTTTATTGACTGCCTCGGTGGTGCAGTGTTAGCGTATGCGATCGCTGTGCTGAGGTCTCGGGTTCGATTCGGGGGTCGTACCAAATGTTTGTAAGATCTGAAAACGTTTGTTTCGGAGTATGGGGTTTTCTAAAAAATTTTAAGTATTCTATCAGTCAATTTAGCTTTCATAGTACAAGCTCTGCTTACTTTAAAACTATATGGCGGCGTGTGTCAGATGTCCGAAACATTAATATTAGTGCCAATTACCCATAAGGTCAATAATCCTAGATAAAGTTGTTAGGAGATGAGTGATGTTGACAGTCACTTACTATCAGGTGACCCGTCTGCTTGTTTGCCCATTCCACCATAAAAACAAAAGACACGTGTAAAGCATTAAATACCTACGTAAACATTACAATAACATGTTATAGGGAAGGTGGCGAGGCCAACTGCTTTTTTAGTTTAGCTCGTATTAATACATCTAAATTTAACGCAGTATTATCACTAAATCTATGTAAAGTTTAGTATTTTAAACAATTTAATTGTATTTATATCTTTCTACCTAATATCTAAATTATTACAATAGATTCTATTGAAAAAACTTTTAGTTTTATTAACTTTGGTACAAAATGTCGGTAGTAATTTCGTTTCCATTTAATTAATACTTTTTGAAACATTATTAAGAACCACCGGTTTGATAAAAACTGCCTGTATTAGGCACAAAATATAAGACTTACTATCTATAGGTACTTCATTTGTTTACAACTTATGCAAACAACTATATTGTGTATAGTGTGTCGTCACTAATTGTGTACAAATAACTTCCTGGTCAATTTATAAGGAGTTGCGGCAGACTAAATAAGTACCTACTAATTTCATAAACCTACATATACCTACCTATTAACTATAATTATCATACCCAGTACCACAGAACTCGTAATTCTTTAAGAGTGATTCATCTTTATCTCACAACAATAACATTGAAATAATCATTTACTAGATTTTATATATTTTTATATTAGTAAGGATTACTTTTAACACGAAAGGTGTGAGTGTACACCTAGTAAAACATTTTATTTTGAAGTATTTATTTGCATTAAGCGATTGAATTGACTCGATTTTATTGACTGCCTCGGTGGTGCAGTGTTAGCGTATGCGATCGCTGTGCTGAGGTCTCGGGTTCGATTCGGGGGTCGTACCAAATGTTTGTAAGATCTGAAAACGTTTGTTTCGGAGTATGGGGTTTTCTAAAAAATTTTAAGTATTCTATCAGTCAATTTAGCTTTCATAGTACAAGCTCTGCTTACTTTAAAACTATATGGCGGCGTGTGTCAGATGTCCGAAACATTAATATTAGTGCCAATTACCCATAAGGTCAATAATCCTAGATAAAGTTGTTAGGAGATGAGTGATGTTGACAGTCACTTACTATCAGGTGACCCGTCTGCTTGTTTGCCCATTCCACCATAAAAACAAAAGACACGTGTAAAGCATTAAATACCTACGTAAACATTACAATAACATGTTATAGGGAAGGTGGCGAGGCCAACTGCTTTTTTAGTTTAGCTCGTATTAATACATCTAAATTTAACGCAGTATTATCACTAAATCTATGTAAAGTTTAGTATTTTAAACAATTTAATTGTATTTATATCTTTCTACCTAATATCTAAATTATTACAATAGATTCTATTGAAAAAACTTTTAGTTTTATTAACTTTGGTACAAAATGTCGGTAGTAATTTCGTTTCCATTTAATTAATACTTTTTGAAACATTTATTAAGAACCCCCGGTTTGATAAAAACTGCCTGTATTAGGCACAAAATATAAGACTTACTATCTATAGGTACTTCATTTGTTTACAACTTATGCAAACAACAATATTGTGTATAGTGTGTCGTCACTAATTGTGTACAAATAACTTCCTGGTCAATTTATAAGGAGTTGCGGCAGACTAAATAAGTACCTACTAATTTCATAAACCTACATATACCTACCTATTAACTATAATTATCATACCCAGTACCACAGAACTCGTAATTCTTTAAGAGTGATTCATCTTTATCTCACAACAATAACATTGAAATAATCATTTACTAGATTTTATATATTTTTATATTAGTAAGGATTACTTTTAACACGAAAGGTGTGAGTGTACACCTAGTAAAACATTTTATTTTGAAGTATTTATTTGCATTAAGCGATTGAATTGACTCGATTTTATTGACTGCCTCGGTGGTGCAGTGTTAGCGTATGCGATCGCTGTGCTGAGGTCTCGGGTTCGATTCGGGGGTCGTACCAAATGTTTGTAAGATCTGAAAACGTTTGTTTCGGAGTATGGGGTTTTCTAAAAAATTTTAAGTATTCTATCAGTCAATTTAGCTTTCATAGTACAAGCTCTGCTTACTTTAAAACTATATGGCGGCGTGTGTCAGATGTCCGAAACATTAATATTAGTGCCAATTACCCATAAGGTCAATAATCCTAGATAAAGTTGTTAGGAGATGAGTGATGTTGACAGTCACTTACTATCAGGTGACCCGTCTGCTTGTTTGCCCATTCCACCATAAAAACAAAAGACACGTGTAAAGCATTAAATACCTACGTAAACATTACAATAACATGTTATAGGGAAGGTGGCGAGGCCAACTGCTTTTTTAGTTTAGCTCGTATTAATACATCTAAATTTAACGCAGTATTATCACTAAATCTATGTAAAGTATATAGTTTACAGAGTTTTGATCTGTATTGTCTAAATTATAAGACCGCTTATGAAAGAATAGATAATATTTCATAACTTTGATACCTAACAAATACTTTATTAAATAAAAGTGCGGAATGCCACGTCTACGTAAAAACTTATCAAAGTATGAAGCGATAAGAAAGCAAGAAAGTCTAGTGAGTCT